TTGTCCTTGTTTCTGTTGCGCTATTTTATATGTTTTACTATGAATGAGGGAAATTATCTGTTTTCAAAAGGTGGGGCACGCGTCTCGCAACGTTAGAAGCTGTCACGGCATTATGATCTATCGCGCCTCCAATATTTATATTATACCCCCGTCGAATTAAGCCAGCAGCAATATACGTCTACATTGCTCAGGCTGACCGGCCGCAAAAATACTAATTTTTTCCGTTCCGGATTCGAAGTCAAGTTCAATGCAGAGAGGTTCTCTGTGAATCTCCAATGAAGACTCTCTTCAGTTTGTCCGCATTCGTCTCCGTGCTAGCGGCTAGAACCATTTGGCTAAGTTTAACTTAGTATCTCTCTGTTTGTCAAATATACTTTTATTCAGCAGTTCACCTAATAGCTATTTAACTAAGCTCATATTTCAAACCGAAGAATATACTAATATCGCTTTGGTGGGACTATAGTACGTAATATAATACATAACCCGCTCGTCAAAATGACTTCTCGAATGCTACTAAAACCTGAATTGAAATACGAGTATCAGCTGCTTAGTGGGGGTGCCGGCGGGTTAACATGCTCCTTGGCTCAAAAAGCGCGTGCTTAATTTTCGTAATTTTCCTGCAGCCTGTGTTGTTGACCGAGCAGACGACTGAAGCGGTTTCTTAAACGCGGACACGCACAAAAGCTCGATTTCGCGGACAGATAAGTCGCATGGTCGAGGCATGCGAGTTGGCTGAAAATTACTGTCGGTGGGAGAATTCTGCAGTCATTGCCGCTTTCCTTAGATGATCAAAACTGATTAGTATATTACCGTCTCTCCAGAGCCCGTAGTTTCGGTTTCGAACGAAATCTCCAAAACGAAAGTTTGACACGAAAAGAACAAAAAGACTCTTGGAAAGCAAAACTATGCTCTGCAAGTTTATGTGCACCGGCTACACTTAACCGTCTCAGTTCAAATACCTATAAAATTGGGCATTAAACAAAAGAAACTCTGTTAAATTGAACGCGCCACCTGTTCAGGCGGCCCGGCCGAGCCGACGCGACCTGGACTCAGCCGCCATGTTTGTTTGGTGGTGGCGCCCCCTATAGGTCGCTGGAGTCGCGAATAGCCATGACGAAGACCACCGATCTTAAAGGAGCTGTGCAACGATATTCAATTGGAATGTTTTTCTCTCTACACTTGCTTACTGGCACACCTCGGACTCAAGGATACTCACACGCAACACCATTGGCCAAGAAACTCCTTTGTTGTGGTGTAATTTCAAGGACAAAAGCGATCATTTTCATTCAATCTCTCCTTTGCAAAATTTGATGACGTAACTCGGGGATCGCAGTACACCCAAGTGACGATATTTGAATGCGGTTCACAGATTGGACCCGAGCATTGCGTGGGCACTCGACTTGGGCTCGTGACAATTGCTAGCTCGAGAAGCATTCGGGTTGTGACCCGTGTCCAATCGCTGCAACGACGACAACAGCCGAGCCATAACAATGTCTGGAACTCAGCGCGTGTCCTGCGCTTTGCCAACCCCTGCGCGTGGCTATGATCAACACTGGCGGCATATAATCGGCTCCAGATCACGTGGCCGCTTGTTCTGGCTGCGAGTTGAGGGGGTGAACGCCGCTCGTTTTTCTTAAATTTTTTTCTGGGACTTCTATTGCGTGGGGTGAAAAACGAACGCGTGTTTCATAGGTCATTAACGTTAGGGATCCGATTTAAGCGGTATTTGTGCACAGTACAAAAATTGTTGCATCGCTCCTTTAAGCCGCACGGCGTAACTTCTTTCCTTCGTTAAACACCTGGAGGCAGGGAAAGCGGGGACAGGCACGGATGTGAGGGCGGGGTCTAACTGGTTTATTTAAAGGGACCATGAAATGACTTTTTTACTTTTTCCAGATAACTTTTACATTAAACCGTCAATGTTCACTGAATGCCGAACAGGCATCCGTTTTCGTCTCGGTTTAATAACTTCTACACAAAAAATTAATGAGATATCGACTTTTTCTTGACCGCAAAACAAGCCGTGACGTACGCTATTTCCGGAACCGGAACTTCTCTCGGCAGTAGGAGATGGGAGCATTAGCGGCGACGAGTTGGTGTGCGCCGGTAGGTTTTACTGCGCCGATGTCACCGATGTATTTTCTGAATCGGCGCCTCTCATCGCCGCATCGCAGCTGAGCGAAATTCAACGAGATATGTTGCGCTACAGCGACAGCATGGGTCTAGTCCCATACGCTGGTATGCCTGTTGGGAAGTGCAGCGAGTCTTCCGGTGAAGACTCCAGAAGTCAACCCAACTGTCATTGTTGGCAAAAGGCGGCCAGTGTCAGTCGTTTGCAAAGCGACGTAGATGGAAACAAATTGCCGCGGCGTTTTTCGCGGTCTCGGAGATGCAGGAGCGAGCCGACGTTAAAAAAGATACGTTTGAACTACGAGTGTCAGCAAGAGCCACGTAAATACCTGCTAACACTCGAGCGGACGCGCGCGTTTGATGGAAGTGCTGTATTCGCGCTGTTGGTAAGCGCTTCGGGACCGATCTTTTACGATTGCAACTCGATACTGACGCGACACTCGGCAAAGAAAGGTTGGACCGGTATTGCACGTATACCTCTCACGAACTGTTACAGCTCGACAGTGACGTGCAGTCTGTCAGGATAAAAATGGCACACCAATAACAAAGTGTACATACCGTGTTACGAAAGTAATCCATACAGCGTTTATTTCAGCTCTATATCACACAAAACAAGAAGAGAGAATCGACGAGGGTCCCTTTTCGACGAGTGTTCGTCAACACTGCCTCGGAAAACAAGGGGAAGAGATTGACCTCACCTCTTAACGTAAAATTGAGGTCAGCGATCAAACTATTATACAGGAAGGGTCCACAAGGGTACCCCACAAGGGTAGCGCGGGCATATTCCATTCAGCACGCCAGCCGGTCGCAGGCAGACAGACGGTCTTGCGACGAAGCAACGCTGCGCCGAGTCGGAGTGCCTGCTAGGCCTATATTCTGAGAGCTTCGTCGGAGCGCGATTCGCGGCTGTTGTCGCTCTTCTCGGGTGTTTGTGGATAAAGCGTTCTTGTTCGTCGTGGTCTGTTTTAAGTAAATTTTTTTCTTGCTGCTTGAATCGGCACGCGCGAGATGAACACGTAGAAAAATAAACGTTCAGTCAGTCAGAGTTTTGAGAGGAAGGAAACCAAAGGAAACAACCGTTCTGAAGGCGGCCCTGCCAGCCCTGCCCTACTGCGCACGCGCAGTAGTTGCTTCGTTTACCACACGATAGATGGCGCTTGGCTCTCAGCATTATCAAATTTGGCAATTTTCGCCACACATCTCTAATTATGCTACAAAATGTGGGCCTGAATATTATTTAACAAAACTTTTAGGAAACATTCGCCGGCTATTTATTGTTTACGATAGCGGTGCTGGTGAGGTAGGCTCTTACCCAATAGGCGACGTGGATTCGGCTGACGTGCTCCATTTCTGCGGATGCATCGTAGTGAAAAGGCAGAGCTTTCGAAGGAAAGAAGTCGCAAAAGAGTCCAGTTTTCTTTTAAAAGTTCTATAGCAAATATTTTTTTTGGCTCCCTAGTTTTGTGTTTTTGTGTTTCTTTTCACACCTTTTACGACGTGCGGTGGATGAAATTAGATTTTAAAATCATTTCATGGTCCCTTTAAGCACCTTGGATCGCGAATATAGGAGCCAGTTAATCGGACCTTACAAATTCTTTAGGTCGGTACTGACCTAAAGGATCACTCAAACCCTTCCAACAGCATCACACCATCTTAACATCATCCACATTTATTTTATCACATAAAAGTACACAGACGACACGCGGGTTTATTATCTCCGATAACAATTCTAGTCCCATCGTATCACGAGATATACGAACTAGCCTAATGATCGTATGGAGCCCTTTAATTTCAGATTAGGTGTAGGCCTTTGTCCCTTCTGAATTTTCGGAACTAAACTAGCGAGAGAAGTGAAAAGTCGGGTCACAAATTAAAAAAAGGGGTGGAAAACTTTCATATGCACAAAACAGCACGAAAGGCAACACATTCAACAACATAGCTCGAGACCAAGCGGACGTGGTGATCCTCTGTAAACCACAACAACCGCCTTTACTGTATTGACCCAAGTATATTCGCCTGTTTTCCTAAAACTTAAAAAAAAAAAAAAATCTTTGGCTTAAAGAGACTTGCATGTGTATCTTTGATTTGCGCATCTAAAGAGCCGGTACTTTTATCTTCACAACCTGCGTCTGCAAACAACACTTTGAATACCGTTTTTTTTCTTTAGCGTGTACCAAAGAAAATATTTTGGCAACACAACAAGTGGAACGTGGTTGCGACGACCAGCATTTCCCTCGACATAAGACCCTACAATCTCACAATGCTCATTGGACCATTCATTATTGGGCAATATGGCAACGGCTCTCCGAGACTTCTCGAAGACGACGAATCTACGCGATCAAGCTATGACGTGCATGTGTTCCCTAGTTTGCGTGGGATTTGTCGATTCCACAGTGTGAACACAAGATCTGCCGCATTCACCATTTTTTATCTCGTATTTCCCCTTGTCCCTTCCCAAAGAAGCTAACGGTCAGAACTAACATCCATCTCACCTCCTCCGTTTTTTCTAAATATAAAAAAAAATATAAAAAAGGGGGTCTTTTTGAAATGTTTGATGGTAAATTATCTGGACACTGCTAATACATTATACAAAGTCAGTTTGCGGACGCCGCATGCCTAAGGCGCTTTTCTTCTTTGTGTGACGGTCTTGTAACAGTTGTCATGCAACACCTGTTGGCAGACATGTTCCAAGCAAACGCATATATAAACAAAAAAAAAAAAAAACATGGTTCAGTTTTTTTTTGTTTTTGCAGACAATTTGATTATAGTGTTTGCAGCAAACAGTGTCTTTTATACAGTGTACGAGTGGTGTGCCTGCGACTCTATAGAGTGTATGCACTGAGCCCGTGCTGGGCGCTGATTTGCCGCAGGTGCTGACCATCTTCTCGGCTTCCAACTACTACGACATCGGGAGCAACCGAGGAGCCTACGTGAAACTGGTGGGACCGAGGCTGGTACCCCACACCGTGATGTTCGTCAGTACCGCGCAGACGCGAAAGGCCACCATCCAGCAGAGGTATGATATACACGCGCGGAGCATATAATGAGATGCATAAACATTTATGGCAAATTGCTAGGCGACTATATTATACTACCGCAAATCGAACTGATAAACCTGGAGATCTTTCAGAGCCTTCCATACTTTCGTGCTCCTCTCCCTCAGAGCGCACAGGTGGTCAAGCTCCTCGTCGCCTGCCTCACTCCGCCTCCCCTCTGGTCATATGACCTCCCTGTTAACCAATCAGCCTCGAGCACCTCACTCCTCCTCTCCTATTCGTTAACCAATCACTGTCGAGCCTCGCGGCAACGCTTTTACAGGCTTCACAAAATGTCGATCACCTAGGCGAAGAACGTTTCACGTTAAAAAAAAATAATAACTCGACACTAGCGCAAAACCAGATCCACTAAATTAGAGTATCGATAATCCATTCTCTCGTTTTATCTTCTGGGCGCCGCCATTTTGGTGTCTAGTCTTAAGCGGGCGCAATAGGTCGTTGTTACCATTTGGGTGATATAGTTTTGCTCTGGCGGTGAGTGCATTAATATTTCTGGAAGATCGCAGAGCATTTCCTGCGTTTTCACACAAGGCCTCGGATAACTGGGAACCGTAATTTTAAGCACCGAGATATCTGACGTGTAGTTACTTTGAAGCGTAGCTTAGTTAGTGGATCTACGCCAAACCATGAATGAGCACGTGAAACAAAATAACAAACCAAAAGTAAACTTAGTTTTTGCTGCGCGGTTAAGTGTAATTGGGATACATCACTTCAGAGGATGTAGCGAGTAGCATCAGCCCTTTAAATAAACGGGAAAGTAGAAACAGCGGTATCAGGTGTGCAAACTGACGCCTGTCGGTTAGAAAGTGTAGGATCTCCAGTGTTCGGGGCTTCGCAAACCGATGCGACGCAAGCGCTCATTTTACGACCCTAGAGCCATGCGGCGGTTACCCCGTTTTAGTCATCGGTAAACTGGAGAGACAGGAGCCCGTTTCGCCTGAGCAGCTTCGTGGTGAGCAGTATTGCTGTTGAGAAAAGGCGACTCCTTTGTCTGGAAATGGCGGTGACATCTCAATTGGGCGAATGTTTCATTCGGCTGAAGTCTCATTCGAGCTTTTCATTTTAATATTTAGTTTTAATTTGGCTAGAAGTATTTGTTCGATTGAACGCCGAGCTATACGCTAATAGTTTCAATTCGGTTCATGTCCCTTTTCGTCTGAAGCCTTCATTAAGCTAAAAGCTTCACTTCGGCTTATGTCTCCATTCGGCGGAAGGCTGAGTTATGCTAAAAGTTTCACTCTGGCTGAAGGCTCTATTCTGCTGAAGGCTTAGTTGGGCCAAAAGTTTCCATTTGGTTGGACGTTCTCATTCAACTCAGTTCTCAGTTTGGCTCAAATTTTTGATTCGGCTAGACGTTTAATTTCAGCTCAGTTTTCAAAGGAACATGCCGAACAGAACCGTGCGGTACTTTCACCCAGTTGTGGCATGGTGGTGACGATACCGTTAACACGCTAACGGTATACGAAAACATACTAATGAGGCGCTTTCTGCTAACGGAGCTCGCATCTGGTGGTTGAATAGGACCATCTCTTACCCGGTCCCCCTTTTTGTCTTGTTTTCAGGAGTGGTTACATCGAGCACAGCGCCTTGAAGGAACTCAAGCACCATATCTACGCCTGCCAGACACCGCTTCGAGCAGAGTTCCAGAAGTATGACCCAGAAAGCAAAGGTGACAGAGACTTCGAGACGATAATCGATTAGTTATAGCAGTTAGTGGGGAGCGCCTGTCAATGAACCAGTGTAATTACGCATACGTGGTCTTCAGGAAGGCTTCTCTGCGGTTGGCGATAACAACTTCTGATCGACTGTATTCTTAAAAGGCGCACCGGAGAGGCTTCTTACCTCGTCCTCTCAGCGCTCTAACTTGATGTGCGGGAGTTTGCGGATAACAGAACTCCTCACGGTAGATGAGTGGCGCCCGAAATTACCCTCATAGCGGTTTAGTTTGGGTTGCTGCGCCCAAATTCGTGACTACAGGAAAATGACAGCACCAATATCTTTTGGGAGACCGTCCTTCTGGAATACTGGGAAAGAAATCGAATTTAAACTGCCTATTATTAAATTCTACGGGCTTTCCTTCTTTCTTCGAGAGTGCAGTCGATTGTTTTGCAATCTACGAGGGTTCCTGAAATATTAATGCCTCACATTTTTTTTTTCGCCCATAAATAAAAACAGTAATATGAAAATTTACAGTTTTAACCTCAGGGTCGTGAATTAGTGCCCCACATTGAGCGCCAGTCGTGGAGAATAATGAGACGACTACCGATTCCGACGGTGCCTTGTCTCGAACTGCCCCCGCGTGCTCCAGCCGCTCCCGTGCCCCCGAGCCATCTTTATTCTACTTTTTCATCCCACACACTACATAGATGTTTCCTTTTATCTCCCTTCCTCTCACTACATAGAGGTTTCCTGCACCCATGCGTGTAGTTTCACGACGACTGCACAAATGACGCTGTTGTAATAGCACGTGAACATGGTGTCTATTTATGACATGCATCACAAACGACGAGCTGGTGGCGGCGCAAAAGCAAACTGCAGGAAAAAATCCGAAACCGTTTTGTGCGCTGTGTGCAATCGATAGGAGCACAGTTGGGTGCTGGGTGAAAAGTACTAAAGATTCAGAAGGTGCAGAGATGGAGTTGCGTGATCGGTCGCAGTCGGAGCGTCCTGCCATCGCCAGCAACCTAGAGATGTTGCAACGCGCCGACAAATTTCTTCGCGCACATCGGCACATCGCAAGCCAAGAATGGGCTTTAGAGATTTTAGTGAGTAAAGGAAGTGCATTGGCCAGTTATCGACGTTATCGGCCTGTGCGCCATAAGAGGAATCCAAGGAAAATGTTGTCTTCAGCCTGACAATGTCCGCCCTCACAAAAGTCTCAAACCCAGGAGGCGATTGCTAACTTTTGTTCAACTGTACTCTACTGTTCAACTGTACTGTACTGTACTCCCACCTATAAGTCTGATTTGGCACCATCATTGTTTTCATCTGTTCAGGCGACTAGGAATGCACTGCGCTAAACAAGGTTTGAAAAAAAAAAAAAAACACGCATAGTTCGTGGAGTGATAGCATGGCTACATCAGCAGAAAACGAGAGGGTACAGGAAAGGCATGCATACCCTTGTTCTACGCTAGCGCAAAATCAGAAAACTGAGAAGAGATAGCGTAAAAATGTAGCATGTATGCAGAAAGGTGCAGTAATGTTCGATATGATCTTACATATTTCGAATAAACAGTTGCAGAGAAAAACAATGTACAGTTGTAGAGAGAAACAATGTGGGGCATTACTTTCTGAGCAAGTTTCGTAGTTAGGAATCTAGACTGTGCAGATGAATAGCATTAACGTTCACAACAACAAAAGGTGTTGAACAATTGTGCGCGTAGTACGATCAGCACACTGTTGGTGTTGTGACGCGTCACAGGAAATGCATTTTGTTGGTGGGCATCTAATATAAACAAACAGACATAAACAAAATGTGTTGTGCAGCTTTTCCGGTGAAGAAATCCATTCCCTGCCAACCACGACGCAAAGCGTGGTCCTAAAGAATTTTTTTTTTCTACGTGTATTATAATATCGTTGTTATTTTAGTTTTCTCGGGTATCCTTGTCGGTTTACTCAAAAATGTTGGCACGCGCGATTCGTGTAACTGTGTGCTTGACGTTGCTCTAAAACATCGTACTTGCCATCGGTTCTCGACTGGTGAAATGTTGATGTCATCTTTTCTGGTCACGCGCAATAAAATATATTTATTTGCCGGCAGATCATCATTTATAGAGCTATCGTTCCCCAGCGTATCTTCACGGTATGTGCGGGATGTTTGTGGCCTCGCAGGCCTCGCATCAGGTGCGTGTATAATGACGAGGATTTTGGACGAGATCATTTTCTATCCTCAATTCTTTATGGTCATTACTCATTCCTCCTTTGCACCGTCTTATCGTTTCGAGCCATGTCTAGCCTCGTTAATCATCGTCTATAACAATTATAACAAAACAAAAATATGGACATTGGTCATTCCAGTGGATGAGCTATAACGGCATCCCCCCCTTTTCCATATATGTCGGAGCTCATAAACCAGAACGCTTGCGAATTTAAGCAACTATATAAACACATCTATGATTCTTTTGTGTACACGATATACCTGCGGATATCTAGAGTCATTTGTATAGTTGCGTAAAGAGGATCAATTCGTGTATGTCCTGCGAGAGTGGTACGGGTTAATTTCGTTTTTCAAAACAAAAAGCGGGGAGAAAAGTTCAAAAACATCAATGACACTAGGGCATTATGTATTGAGATCCATTATCTCTCAGAAAACATATATACAACAATCTTGACTTTGAAATCCAGACCAGGTTTATTTACTTTGCTGCTTCGAGTTGATAAAGAAGAAAGGCGAAAATGAGTTCTAAAAATGCTTCAAAATTTTAATGTCCTTCTTGCACACGTTTCCATTAGATCTTACACATCGCTATATTTGGGAACTTGAAGAAGCTCTATCAAATCGCTGAAAGCGCGGTGTGTTCAAACGCATGCTGGCGCAACTGTTTACAACCCACCAAATAACTCAAAGGTTCACGACACTCTCCACTCCATTTCTGCATCGAGCGACCTCCCTACCCCTACAGTATGGACTCGCGTGCCACGCCAAATCGAGAACGAGGTTCAGTTTTAAGAAGAGGTCGATTCTTCGAGAAAATCAAAATAAAGCGAACAAAAAACCGTGAAATCGTTGGTGTGTCCGGCGTCCCTTTTCCTCTGAGATGTTGTCAACAGAAACATCCCCAAAAACAAAAGGCTCGACGGGATCGTCTGAACCTGCAGGCTAAGACCCCCCCCCCCCCCCCCCCTCCCCCCATCGCCCTTTTCTAGAGATGTCGAAAGCAGACAACACAACGTCCACGAGGTGAACCCAAAACGCCCGTCGGGCAAACGAACCTAGTCTTTGTTCAATCTCATTGTTGTCCTCCACAGAATCGTAGTAATTAGTTTTGGGGAGGACGCGAGATCCCCAATGGGGAGAAAGGGAACGGCTGCTGAAAAGTTTAGCCTTCTGGTGGCTGCAGTTATTTTCTGGATCCTTTATCTGTGACGTGCCAGTGCTGTGCCAAAAATCGGTCGTAATTATACTCCGTTCACTTCTTAGGTTGACAGTGCGGTGGAAGCTAGGCACTCGTTGAACCAATCGAACCTCTATTCTTCGCCGCGTGATCACGCTCCCGTCCATACCCACGCGCAGACAGCGGGACCAGACGATGAAAAGAAAGTGGATGATTAGTCCGTCGAGCACGTAGCTCCCGCCACACTGTCAGCTTAGGGGTGAACAGAGTACAATAAATGGGTACCCGAAGCCAAAATGAGGGAGAGATGTCGCTAGGACGGTGTCCTTCGGAGCGACCTGTCAGAAACATGACACCGGAGTTCGATGCGGCGGCGGCGGCTTTTGCAATCTATAGTTTGCTAATTGGCCTCAGCTTTAATAATCCCGACGCATGAGCATCCTGTTTCGAAGAACAGCTGGTGCTCAGGACTGTTCTGGCAGAAGACCGGCAAAGTCGGTCTCTCAATCGAATCTGGAGTTCACTTCTCTATCACTCAAGACTGAAATGGACTGGTCACTGACAGGTAGAGCCCTGCATATCCGCGGACTACCCGCGGATCATCCGCGGATATCCGCAGTAAACTGGCGGATGCGGATAAAAATAAGACAGATTTAGCGGATTGCGGATCGAATGCGGATGGCTATAGGGTTGCGGATGCGGGTCGGATACCGATATCCGTGGGTCCGGGTCTACATTTTTGCCGAGGCGGCCCATAATCGTGGGCGACCGGCGCACAGTGTAGAGTGAATAAGGGAATGATACTATGAAGGTGCATCATTGAACGTATTGCGGGAGCAAACTACTTCCTTTGATAAAAGGTGCCAACCGGAGAGAACTTTTTTTTTTTTACGTAAAGGAAGATTTGATTCCCACCGAACGTCGCTTTATAACGTTCTATGTCGCCAAAAATGGTGTCCATAGAAAGCAAAGAATTCAGAAGCATCAGTCGTCCCGGGAAACTGTGTTCTTGTTTGGCAGGGAAAGAGCGGAAAACCTTCTTCGGGCAAAGAAAGCCCAAAACGTAGAAGCCACAAGAAAGTAGAAGTCTGCAAGAGGCTTCTTCGCCCTACAAGTACATCGAAGAGACTGAATTCGATCCTCTGGAATGGTGGAACTTGCGCCAGTACGAGTTTCCGGACCTCATTCTTGTAGCGCAGTTTGGGCATGCCATCCCGGCGTCAAGTCCACCAACAAAGAGAAACTTCTCATTAGCGGGTATTCATTTAAGAAAGGCAAACTAGTCTGAATCCGTCCATGTTCAGGATATTCTGTTTCTTTGCACAGCAGCCCCGACAAGTGAAACGTTGCGTGTGTGTGAGTTTTATTTTTCTCGACAGTTGGCACTGGGTTCTTTTTAAGTACATGGCTCCGAGCATGCAGTTGAGGGTTTGTCTTTAAAACTGAAACCGATAGGAGGTGTTGCCATTGTTGAATTTTGTGATATTTTCCCAGTTGTGTACTCACGCCTTACCACATATACACGTTTTCTGCAAGGTGTGAGCGCCTTTCCTTTCCCGCTTTTTCAATTGTTTGGCCTAAATAAAGGCCACAACGTTATTAGTCTGTACTTTGTTAATTTTCATATCTATAAAGTAGGTGTCTGCTTAAAGCTGGTCTAACCAAGCAAAAAGAAAAAAAGATATATAATATTAAAGTTTCTTTGGTTTTGAGCGCATCTTCTGGACAGTGTCAGTGTCACCCGGACTCAGAAGACGATCTTATAACTGCGATCATCTTTCCAGCGATCCGAAGTGTCTCTAGAAGGATAATCGCTTCTTTCATAAATACGATAAAGCAGAGCACGATAAAGTGACTCACCATATTCTGACACGAAGAGCTCTTTGTACCAAGGTAAGCAGACGGCTTACAGCATACCATCCAGATGCGTTTTAACATTTTTATTCCTGCTTCACTTTATGGTCTAAAATGAATGCACGAAGTGAGGGTCGGATGCGGTTCCGAATTTAGCTTATACGGTTCGGACGCGGATACAAAGTCTGCAAATACTGATCGAATGCGGATGATGAAACTGCTATCTGCACAGGGCTCTACTTGACAGGATGATAATGGCAGGACGTCTCTTTCGAATGCCCTGCCTCCAGCACGCGCTCGCTGCCTTTCGCCATACATTGGCTACGCGTGCAAGCTCGATACTCACTCGACGCCGATGTGTCTTCTAAGCCAGGAAGTTTGCGCTCGAGGCCGCGCAACTGCATAGAGTGCCTCCCTGTCGATTTTAATCCAAAGCGCCGAGACATTTTCGTGGCGTCTTTTACGGTTTCCATCCGTGACTTTGCGATCAGGATTTGCCTCGATCGCCGTGAGGTCACGAGTTTCGATCCCGGCTACTTCTCATCAGTTGTGAGGTCAAGCTCGATGGTGGGGATGAAAAGTACGTTGGAAACTAGGAACACTCGCGTCCTTAAAGGGATACTACAACGAAATTTCGGCGCTCATTTTTTGGTCTATATGTGTTCAAAGGAGCAGTATCACATCGAACGTACCAATATCTTGTTGAAAAAAGTCTCGAAAAGGAATTTTAAAACGAAGTAAACGATTAGCAAAGAGCACCTGGTGGATGTCGCTAACGCTTCGTTTGTAATGCTCGTCTAGGAACCTTGACAGCTAGTGACGGAGGTTGTCTCGCCTCCCGCCACGACGAAAGAAGAGGGGAAGGAGGAACTCCCCTCTTCCCGAGAATGCCTTTTGTGTGTCCCAGAAGTCGCTATTGTCCCCCTACCAGATTGTAGAAGATTAGCCCGTCACTCAAAATTCGCACAAAAGCAGTCACTTCGGTGGCTAAAATGACAAGGCCATCCTCTCGACGTCAGCCTCGCCGTAGCTTTGCTCGTCCCGAGACGACCTACGTCACGATTGGGTTGGATGTCACGTGGTCTCCGCTGGGCCCTCTCCGAGCGCTTCCAGAGTGGGCCGTTTATAACGAAAAATACAGCCACCAGACTCAAAATACAAACGTGCGATTGTCTTTTACGGATATTGTGGATCATATTCAACCTGTTTTTGAACACGACGAGAATATTTCAAATTTCGTTGAAGTATCCCTTTAAACCAACACCGTCGAAGTTGACAGTCTGACAATGCTCTTACGACCAGTCGTGAAAAGCCGACCACACTGGCGCTTTTGGTCGAGCAAGTTGCTAAATATCGAGAGGTTCCGTCAAATTAAATCCATATTTGACATACAGTATTACGACCCCACTGCTTTTAACCCTGTTCTTTAATTAAATTTGTCGGCGGAATTCATTTTTTCCACAGCTAGAACTTGCCTGTTCACCGCAAGTACAGCATTTATCGAAGTGAGAAAACAAAATATAATCAGATTTGATTATGCCACTAGAATGGCCCTGTCCGACTAGAACCTGGAAAAACATTTATTGGAAATACTCAGAGCATAGCAGCTGACGTTTTGCCTGTGTACATATAGCTTCTTCAGGAGAGCAAATCCCGAGGAACTTATCTTCAGGTGGGGACACAGGGCTGAGGCGCAACGGAAAAAGATCTTGCCCTGAAAAAACAAAAAAGGCTTGACCCTCTCAGTGAAACTCCGACTGTCAGTCTGGTACTTTGACGGCGTTTCTTTTTGTGCTACTTATTGCCACCTCTTACTGTGCTTGGTTCGTCTCACTGGACAGATATTTAACAAACTCTGGTCGCAGATGTGTTATGGCGAATTCCACGTGTCGTTTTGAAGCGCGCCGGGATCGACTTTTCTGAAGCGAGCCTATTTCACTGGGCGATCGGGATCGAGACCGACGTGTTTCGATGGTCGTTTTGGATTAGCTCACGCACAAGATCTCGATCTGGATCCGAGAAAAGTCGCTCCCACGATTTCGGCGGATTCAACCCGAAGCCAGCCGGGCCACCATTCGGCGCACACACGTGACTTCCTTTCTTGTGGGGCATCTCGCCTGATCTCGCCCACCTCGCCTCGGAAGAAGCACGTCGCGGGCTGGGCTCTTAGATTGTCTCGACATCAGAAGAATTCGTAATGGCCGCTTGCTTACCCCTTGGCTCGACAGCCGGTTCGTTTTCCAGGAAGGAGAAGGGAAGGTATTTGTCGCGCTACGGGCATTCCGGCAATCTTTGCTAGAAGCGCTTGAGCCATTCCTGCCGCTCGTGCGTCGAACGCGTGTTAGCGCCGCGATTGCGAAAACGTCTTCGAAACGACCGCGGCGGCCGCCGAAAGGGGATTCCCGGGCAGTTGAATGACTGGAAGGCATCCGCCGATCCCGGATCAGTGGTCATGTTCCACTGGGGATCCGTAGGCGGCACGACCCCGTTCGGATCGTGTGCTCCAGACCGGATCTGGTCAACTGATCCCGGCGCGCTCCAAAACGCCCAGTGGAATTCGCCATTAGGTATACCTTGTAAGAGACAACCTTCTTTGCGCTTCAGCGTTACCTGCCGGCGGCTACAAAAGGACACGTTCGAGAACAAACGATTCCGCTGAAGATTGGTCCAGTCGCCAACACTTCTATTTCCTGCGTTGGCGAACAATATTGTGGTTGATTGTTGGGCCAGTGGGACAAAAAATTCGTCGCGATTCTCATCTGCCTCTCCGCTGTGTCCAGGCACGGTGACTATGGCGGAGTGGTGTTCGGTGATGGAGAAGATTGTGGGCCTGCACGTGACCTGGAGGATACTGTGCCCCAAGATCGCCCAGTACGACGCCGTCAACGGCACAGTCCTGTATGAGTCTACCTTCGACGAGTACGCGCTCACCAACAAGCTCGCCCAGGTAGCTGCCATGCTCAATCGTTCTGCTCTCCTTTTCTGAGTAATATCAACGCTTCCTAAATTACCCCTAGGCAGACTTATATATGCAGTGTTGTAGCCGTTACCGAAAAATAATTAACGAAATACGTTACTCGTTACTTGTAAATAAAAGGAACGCTATACCGACCTGCGTTACTTGAAAAAAAGCCTTACCGTTTTATTGTTTTGACGGGACAGGTGTGCTCAAGCGCCATATTTCAAGGAACATTATGTCCATGCAGAAACCTATCATAAAAACCTTATATAAGAGTGAAAACGCAGATTAGCTGGTCTTTCATTGTTTCAAGCTTTTTGATCGTAATTATAATAATTACCTTTTTTTTACGGTTTCACCTAGATTTTGCCTTTCCTGGTGGAACCAATTGAAGAAGCAAAACTTTGGTGAAAGGTGGAATGAGTGCAAGCATTCATATTACATGGCTCCTAAAAACACAAACAGAAAACATTTTTTTTTTTTACTTCTGGGTTGATGTAACAAGTAACGTGTCAACCTTTAATTGAAATAAGTAGCGTAACTATATTATTAATTACTGTTTTGAAAAACGCAACGAGTACCTTAAAAGGTTTGCGAGAAGTAACGCGCTACATGTAACGGCGTTACTTGTGATGCGCTGCCGCCAACACTGTTTGGATGTTATACACCTCTACCTTTCCTCCGCTTCTCACCCAGGTGAAACATGCTGGGTCACTGGGCTGTGGATGCATACCCGGCGTCTGATATTGCGCAAGAGAGAACTATATACTGCACGCGCTCAGAAAAGCGTCCTACAGCCCAGTAAACAATGATGAGCAGCCTGCAGAAGGTGGATATTTTAATGGTCTATACCCTTTGCGAATTATCGTACATACTGTAATCTATTACCTTCGTATGTCCACCCATCAAACCGTAAAATACTGCATTACTTTTTACGCCGAGTATACATCTCCCGAGTGATTACTTATGAAGGAAATTAGAGTGTTAGAAATTCTTACTGCAGTGTTTTAACCTTGCAAACAATTGCATCTATTGTGTATAAGCGAAAGAATGGTACAAATAATATCCTTTAGAATCAATGAGACCTCAGCGATGTTCATAGAACTACCTTCATTGAATTCACGTAATTGCCCGTAACCTTAAATAATGGTAGTAACGTGACCACCTAAAATAATAAAAAAAAATCAATGATTACTCTGGAAGTAGTCCCCAGTTTGGGTTTGGTGTGAAAAAAAAAAACTATTTTAAACACATGTTTTGTAGCAGGTACTAAATTCTTTTGAAATTGAGCCACCTTTTTCTGTATCGTATATGAGACTGTTTCTAAGCGTAAGCCACTGATGCCTTTCTATGGTTCAGTCTGCTAGCGTTATGGTCCTTAAAGGACCGGTGCAACGATATTCAATTGGAATGTTTTTCACTCTACACGAGCTTACTGGCACACCTGGGACTCAAGGATACCCACACGCAACGCCACTGGCCAAGAAACTCCTTTGTTGCGGTGTAATTTCAAGGACAAAAGCGATCATTTTCATTCAATCTCTCCTTTGCAAAATTTGATGACGTAACGTGGGGATCGCAGTATTCCCAAGTGACGATATTTGAATGCGGTTCATAAATTGGACCCGAGCATTGCGTGGGCACTCGACTCGGGCTCGTGATAATTGCTAGCTCGAGAAGCATTCGGGTAGTGACCCGTGTCCAATCGCTGCAACGACGACAACAGCCGAACCATAACAATGTCTGGAACTCAGCGCGTGTCCTGCGCTTTGCCAACCCCAGCGCGTGGCTATGATCAACATTGGCGGCATATAATCGGCTCCAGATCACGTGATCGCTTGTTCTGGCTGTGAGTTGAGGGGGTGAACGCTGCTCGTTTTTCTTAAATTTTTTTCTGGGACTTCTATTGCGTGGGGTGAAGAACGAACGCGTGTTTCATAGGTCATTAACGTTAGGGATCCGTTTTAAGCGGTATTTGCGCAAAGTACAAAAATTGTTGCATAGCTCCTTTAACCTTAGCTCTCTTCTTTCAGAATGGACCATCCTTCCTGGAGTCCTTGTACCGGAACAAGGACAGTTTGGAAACCATCTTCAGGATAATGGACAAAGATGGATCAGGTAACCGCTATATTGAAAATAACACTTCGGCCTTGATGTGTTATGGGACGCTCTTAGCCCTTCAAGCCCCTCTAGCACATCACGCACCTTAGCCCTTCCAACCCCTTCAGCCTTTCAGACCCACTTAATCCTTCAAACCTTTTGATGCCTAAATATATGTAAACCATAAACCAGAAAAGCAATTTAAAACTTTATTGGAATTCTATTTCAGACATTGAGTTTAACCTGCATGCTGTTATTCAAAATGCGATAAAAACCAACGAGTACTCAAACCCGCGCGCAAGCAGCTGGAGACAAAAGCGATCAGACCAAATTGGGACAACCAAACTTTTTGGCGAAAAAAATCTTTCGAGGTGCTGACAATGCCGCTGCGTAAATTCTCGTGATGTACGGTAGTTCAACTAATAAAACCGAGCAGGTGTTACACACGCACCTATTGTCACAAGTGAAGGGGACGAGAGGATGAGCAGTGAACTGAAAATAAAGGATTGATCGGCGAACTTGTGCCAAACAAAATAAAAGACGAGCGTCAAAACAGCAGAAAAGCGGGCGGCGATTTGGTGGCGGAACAGCAGCGAGAGCGAGACTGACTTGACAAGGGGAAGGGGGGGGGGGGGGGGGTCGTGATGGGGGGGGGGGGGGCAGGGTTACCTTTGCCAAAAGTGCAAGTCTCGACAAGGTCCCGCGCCGCTCCTTATCTAGTGTGCGTGACTATCTCGAAAAATCGGCAAAGAAGCTTCGAGCGTCGCGCGCTCGGGGTGAGAATGAACAGGCACTTTCGAGAACAAGAAAGCAGGACGAAATGATAAAAGTTACGCCTCGAGTAAGAATAAACGCGAATCTTCTAGAATTCCGTGACCGAGCGTTGCTCGTTCGACCCTGCGCGCGGCAATCTACACGCTGTCAATAGCACGTTTAGCAAAGACCACGAACGCGAAACCAACGTCCGCCACCACTAAGAAATCCGGAGCATAGCCACGGTATCATCCCCAGTGTCTTTTTCACTCACTGGACGAGCTTCTGAAGCCGGACGGACAAAAAAGCGCAAGAAACAGGGTACTGAGAGACCTTCTCCTTGATCCGCACACTGAGCTGCTTTAGAAGATATATCCCACGCATAGGACGGGAAGCCGACATTGAGGCCGCCCGATATAAAATAGCCAAGCGGTTTCGCCGACGCATATATTCTGAGGTCACGTGATCTCTCCCACAGACCCGTTAAAACTATTATGATGGGTGCCGTGCTTCCAGGAGGAACATTGGGACGGACCCCACATGCCTCTAAAAGAAATTATGACGGGTCTTTTACACTCATTAGAAATTCTTGGAGGGTACGTTAGGCTCTTTAGAAAGCTTCGACGGACATCTCAACCCCCTCAACATGTTTTGAAGGGCACGTCAAAACATTTTAGAAGTCCGGAAGGCTTTTAAATTGAGCGAAGTGGCTCCGGCACCTGAGGTAATGAATTGTTTAAAAGCCGACATGCAAGATCTTTCAGCAGAAGTGCTGAAGATCTTGCTCTTGCTTTTCCTGGCATTTCTCAACCAGACCGGGAAGGAGCCCCTTGTGTAACGACCTTCGTAGGCTAACATAATCTACAATGTCATAAAAGCAACAAGTCCTGTGGTTTTAAATTCACTCGTTACCAGACAAGAGTAAGCATCTGCATATGGTTAAGTTTTCTCTTTGTGAATACTGAGCGAAACTCGTTCAATTACTGAATTATATATACTGGTGCCCTTGGAATGGTCTGTAGTCTACCAAGACGAATATTTAGCGGACATTGCTGGCAGAAACTTCGGGGGTTCCAGTTTTGGTTGCTGTGAGAGCGAGAGAGATATCTGCTTTGAAAGAGCGAGCCAAGATCTCATTAGCGGACGACTCGTCTGCTAACGCGATCGAAGAAATAAGGCTTGTATTCTATCAAGCATATAAACCTTAGTGACACCACCATTTTATATTAGGAGACAGGCATTTCTGAAATGATAAAAACGGGCAATGTATATTTTGAAATACTTAATGAGTGGACGATCTAAATTTGTTAGTAATAAATAGTAATAAAACAAAAGCCGTATTTTCTTTTAGATCGAAGGGTGTGAGGGTTTGCGATAATGCGGTCCTGAGGCCCTTGGGCTCAAGTGGTATTGAAATTGTCCAAAATGTCAATGTGCTTTAGTAATAATCAATTAATACATCCGATTGGACAGTAAAGTTCAAATAATTGCAAAAAAAAAAACTATCAAAGAGAGTAGGAACAATTTATAAGTACAAAACAAAGTACCTCCATCTACGCTACGACTTCTGTACAACTCTTTATTTCATGCTTGTTTTAATGACTGCTTTTGTTTGGTCTGGGGAAATACAAGTATTACAAATATCCACACTCTCCATATATTAAAGAAAAAAAGTAATTCGCACTTTGGGTAATGCAAAGTATCACTGCTGCACGGCGCCAATATTTAAAAAAGTGGGTATTGTTCCAATAAGAAATTTTTATGATTGCAAACTTAACCTGATATACAAAACAGCGTTGAGTAATCCGAACGGAAATTTCATCTCACTTTGTTCTCTTCACTTAAAACGTTATTTTTATTTCATACGTCATGCCTGTACTTGGACGGTCCCACACACCAGGACGAACTATGGTAGTCAGTAGTTAAGGTATCAGCTCCGCAAAGTACTTCATCTTACTTAGTTCCTAGGGATTGATATTTAAAGTGTTTCTCGCAAAACTATACGCTCGTTGCTCGTCTCGTCGAGCTAATTGTAGCAATGTTTTACTGCGTACACAAGACATGTTACTGGTCTTAAATTGTTGTTGTTTCTTGTGGTTTTTTTTAGTGTGAATAACGTGCTGTGCTGCTGTTGCTGCAGGGGAGGAGGGTATTCTGTCGATCAGTTCTTGTTCTGCCCTTCTTCCTTCTTCCCTCTCTTCTTGTATGAAGAGAAACAAATGAAACTGAATTTAAATGAATTGAGTCATGCGGCCTCAAAGAGCGTCACCTACCAATCGCAAAAGCACGAGTTCGTCAAGAGCCGGCAGTACTTGCTTAGAAGCTGCTTGAGTCACGTCAGCGAACATTATTTGTTGTTTGCTCGCCTGTTATAACTTATAAGACCACCAGACCGTAACATTCCGGGGGATTCGCCGTCGTCCACCAGGCCTCATCTCGATGGAGGAATTCAAGGACGCGTGCGACCTGCTCGGGCAGCACGTGAACACGCCCATGTCTCAAGACCAGGTCGAGGAACTGGCAAGGAGCATCGACATCAACAAGGACGGCTTCATCGACTTCAACGAGTTCCTGGAAGCCTTCCGACTCGTGGACAAGTGTCCGCCGTCCTCCGGCGTCGGCGCCGAGGACTCCGTCGTCAACAGGATGGCCGACGAACGAGTTCCGCCGTCCGAGCCCAGGTACGCAGATACGCTTCTAGGTTACAGTAAAACATTTTCGTGCAAAAAACCTTAAAGGTTTTTTGTTTGTTTTTTTTCTTTTTAATTCGGCAGTTATGTCTTGAACGCTTCTCTGACTGGTTTACCACGTTCTCAAATGTGGTCCATCTACTTCCGCCTGGAGGCGTAACAGAACTGTCATGCTGTTGTCTATCGCGCTCCTGGCTTTTGCACAGCGGCGCAGGTGGTTGCAAACAGACGCCTATTTTGTGCAGGTCGTTTTGCAGCGCGACGGTACGGGGTAGCCTCAGCAGCCAGGAGTTAGAACGCCGCGACGACTGCGGCACTCGCCTTCGCTCGTATACCCTTTGTCGGAACGTTTAAGACCGACCGCCAGGATCGCGACATCCAACAGCATGATATGCCGGCTTCCGTGACGTCGTGCGTTGCCATTTCGCGCAGTGCAACTTCGTCTGCTTTTTTCACCGGGGTGGCGATGTTGTAAGAACGCCGAGCTCTTATTGGCTGTATAAAAATGAAATAGTGGGTAGACCTCAGAGTAAGCTGCTTTGGGGTCTCACACTATCCTTCAGTTAGAGCCAATTAGAGCTCGGCGTTATGACGTCACCACAACCCTTGTAAAAGAAGCAGATGAACTTGCGCTCCGCATAAATCGCTTAACACAGCAGTTCAAGACGCGTTGCAGGCACTGCACTTTGGCTAACTTTGTGGTTGGCCAAAGTTTCTGGTTTTTAGTTTAGAGTTCTCGGGATACCGACTTCAGGTTTATACAGCAGCCACCGAAGCAAAAGATACATCTCGCCCTTCAGTGACTACTTTTGGGACGCTTTCCACATGAAGGTGTTTCCAACGAGCATTTTTCCTAATCCATTCGAGATATGAGTGTACTATTATCATAATCTTATTTTAGTTACGTCATTCATGCCATCTCCGTCCCAGGTGCAACGGCGTTCCCGTGTCCGACAGCGCAGAGCCAGAGTCCTACTGCACCAAGCTCTGAGACCAGTTCACTGTACGGTGACTCGATGGAAGACGTGGGTCCCAGTCGCGATGTCGTCCTGGCGGGCCCCCTGGCCACGCTGTCCCTTGCGGACTTCTCCCGCGAGATTCCGAATCAAACTCGTTTTATGGACTTCTGTACACGAAGAAAGGACGCGAATATCCGCGCTCGTGGCGTCGTTGCAGCCGCCATTCTGACCACGAGTAGACGCCAGGATCTGCGAACACCGCGCGTGGCCAGGATTTTTTTTTTTTTTTTTTTGAAGTCTGCAGCATTCGCGTATGCTCTATTCTGCAGCCAGCGTCACCGCCTTGTTGTGACGTCGGGAACATGAGTTTATGTATTTTATAGGCCTTCTTCTTTTTGGGTCACCGTAGGCACTTTGTCCTGGATTGAACCCTTATACTTCTGATATTAACTGGTAATTATGGACGTTTTTCAAGGCCGGCACCTAGTGGCAAGCGTACTATCTTCGGGGAAATATCCTTGCTGCTCCGCGTGCCGAAACAACAAGGTTGAAGACCAGCCAGCGCAAGATCTGCGCTTGTGCAGATGATACGTTGGCTTTTCCGACTCTAGTTTCGTGTGCTATCTCGATCGTCTGTCCCTACGCGGAAAAGGTCCATCACATCGCACCACTCAATCTGATAATCGTTTAAAAAAAAAGTGGACAAAAAGAAAAATGGGACAAAGGCTAACGAGTTTAAGTATTCGAGTCTTCTAAGGTCAGGATGCCAGAATCCGGTAAAAAAGAGTACTTCAGTCGCCGTTGGCGCGGAAAAGGGAATATTTCGGTGGTTCTCTCCAAATGGCGTTCACTTTTGATAAAGAAAAGGGGGGCCTATTACTTGTAGACCTTGAGTTGAACGGGACCATGATTAATACGATGTTCGAGTGAGCCGCTTACACAGTTCTGCTGCAAATCACCAGACGCGTGTCTCACAAATCATACTTCACCATGGCGAACGGCTCGAGTCACTTTGCTGGAAGGTTAGTACAGAATATATGTCAACGTCGAAAATTTAACGTGCGCCTTTAACGATAACAAATCCGAGTACCTCATGATAAGTAAAAGCTGTAAAACGTCACCCTTAGCTGAAAAATTCGAGCTAAAAAAAGATATGTCACTCGTAATAATTATATTAATAAAACTATACACCTAAAACAATGCTTTACCAGCACAGAACGCGGAGGACCATTTCCACATTACAGAGAAATGCTTTGCCGAGTACCCAAGGTGGAGCTTTGTTGGAAAAAGGAAAAGGTGCGGGGCGGAAGTTCCTCAAAAACGAGTGTTTCTTCTGGGTGACGTAATGACGTTGTTTCTCTCTCGGCATTTGGGGGGCAGAGAAGCTCCTGTTCTTATGTTGCAACAGACCGTACGATGTGCAGAATACGTCCGGCGAATGTCATGAAGTCTGGAAAGCGGATAGGGATTGAAAAAAAAAATAGTCTGCGCAACGACAGTTGACATTTGAATCGTCAAGAATGCCTCGACTGCGAGTACCGAGTTGGTCCCACAAAAAGACCAGGTGTCTACACGTATTGCTGATGTGTCTCGCTGCAGCCTACGTCAAACGACATCTCGTTATTGCCATCAGCATTTATCCCTTTAAAACATACGCTTCCATGTGTTCCATTGAAAATATAGTTACTCAGATTTTGCTATAACAAAAAAATCATACTCACACACAAACCCGTTATTCTCGAGTTTTGGCGCGTGCCCTATCGCTGCGTATGACGCGCATTTACCTAATCGTAATCGTTATCAACCCTCGTTGTCTTGCATTTCGACGTGTGACATAATCGTCTGTGCGTGTGTTACTCATAGTAACTCCAAGAAGAGGTTTGGGGGGGGGGGGGGGGGGGGGTGTTGATACTGCACCGACCAATGAATATATGTTTGCAATTATGGTCTCTGGGCGCCGCCATCTTGCACTGGTAAGCGTAGATCGTCTGCTATTTAGCCGGTGATAGGAACCGCACAAAGACAACGAGTGCCATGACAATGCACTTTTGGTTCTGTTTTATTGGTTCCATCGGATCAGCATCGGCCGCGGTCGGGCACCTAAGTGAAATGGAGTTCAGTCAAGCCTAGATGGACAGAGGTAGGGCGAAGGGATGTTTACGACTGTACCCTTTATAAAGGGCGCTAGCTTGCGCCGCCTAGCCTTGCTAAGGCGTATCCCCGTTTTTTAAGCTAAGAGGACACTGGTAGAGTGCGCGGACATGCGGAGTGCGCGCGATAACCTGAGCCTGATTATTATCAAGTGTACAGCGGATCGATTTGGTAGGACAGGCAGAGACACACGACGAGTCAGAGAACACACTGAGAGATGGGTAATTCAGACGTTATATGTCTTTACCCGAACCTGAAGAGAGCGAAGCAGCGTAGCATCGGTATCTTTCCCTTGAGGGTGGAAATGTTCCTGCTCGCTGCTCTCCGATTGTTGCTACTTCTTTTTCTGGCGCAATGTTTCGCTATTGATGGCTACTGAAGACAGGAAGGCTTAGGGTATCATGTTGCCGATGGTAAGAGTGCCAAGGTTTGCACCGCCTTGTACGATCCACGTATAAACCCCGTGTTTTTCGAGCACGGTGTGTGCACACACCAAAACGGGGCTGCTGGGACAAACAGACTGGTTCCAGGTTGCCACTTTTTCCCGTATGCATCCTACTCCGTGTAACCTGTACATAAGATAACCTAGGTGGTAACAAATTCAGTCGACGATTCTTCTCCCAGGAACGCCTCCCGCGGTGCTCTTTCGATACCTATGCCAGTAAACTGGACGCAACTGAATCGCTTTCAGTTCCATAGCCTATAACTTCAGATTACCACCTGTTCATAGATTAGCTTACGCTATGATAAGCAAGTGCTTACATACGCATTCAAATCAAAGAGAATCATCTTGTGCCCTCGACATCTGCGTAATTTGTGGTTATGCGTTTCGCCTTGTTGATCGCATTTTCGCGTTTGATTTACAAGAGTTTCTCAGCTGTTCGCCAATAGACCTTTTCAAAACCCCATCCAGCAACATTGGCGGTCGCCCTTTATTGGGCACAAAGCGTGTGATTGGACCCGAATCCTCGCCGAATGATGACGTAGCACTCGTGTCCAATAAACGCTCAGAGTTCGCGCCCAAGGAATGGCAGACTCGGCTAATTGGCGCAGCTGCTACTAGGTGGCTCCCGCGTTTTTGAAAATGGTTTATTGTCCCATATAGTATGTCTATAAGCAAAATATGTGTGTGTGTGAAGATGTAGAAACCGCAGGTGAGAAAGCAAAGCCACTGCTGTGATTTTCGCCGCGCTTCTTTGTCCTTGTGAGTTCCACGTATGCGCGTGTGTTTGCGTGATTATCACCGTCAACTCTGCACCATTACGCCAATCACTCAAGTAGCCTTCGAGGGTGACATATATACTAGGGCACACACCGATTTTGTTCGTCGTCAGTGCACATCTTTCTCTTTGGCACCAAATTTCACAGCTTTATATATGGCGCAAGAAAATGGTAATGAGTTCTTTCAAAATCTGTTTGCAGCTGAGTTCCATAAAGTCTATAAATGTACCGTACTTCTCGGTTCTAGCCATTCAGAACTTCCCACGTGCAGTCATCACAGGCAAACATGGTAGGAGATCTCCAGAGTCGCTTGCCCCCCCACCCCCCTCTTTAGATGCTTATGTGCGCATGCTCTCGATTGTCGTTAGCGAAAGACTATACTGAAGACGCCTGCAAAATGCCTCTCAAAGCTTGATGTGTGCAAAATTAGAGACGTGTCGCCTCGTAGCGTTCTTTGCTTCCATGTCCTTTGTTGACAGAACGGGAGGTGGAACAGACGATGTTCGCCAGCCGACAATGATCAGTGTCGGACGATGCTCTTCAGAAGACGATGCCATCTAGCAGGCGATGTTAGCTAGCAAGCTGTGCTCAGTAGCAGACGATGCTCTCTAGAAGATGATATCATTTGCAGGCGATGTTCGCTAGCAGACGGTGCTTACTAACAGACGATGTCAGCTTGCAGGCAATGCTCGCTACCAGACGGGGCCCACTAGCAGACGATGCTCACTAACGAATGATGTTTACTAGTGGACGATGTTATCTAACAGGCGACGTCAGCTAGCAGGCGATGTCAGCTAGCAGGCGATGTCAGCTAGCAGGCGATGTCAGCTAGCAGGTTATGTCAGTTAACATGCGATGTGAGCTAGCAGGCGATGTGAGCTAGCAGACGATACTAGTTAGCAGACAATGGTGGCTAGTAGGTGATGTTTGTTAGCAGACGACATGGATGCGGAGCGAAGCGCAACGAGCGCGCGTTGTGAGCGTCTCCTACAGAAAGCGAATCAAGTTTTGCTGTGGATCCAGGAGGAGTCACCGACAGCATCATGTACCACATGTCATCTTGTTCTCTCTTATATTGGTTTGAATAGCGCACTAACGCTTAACTGTTCTGAACTTAATGTGTAGTGATGCTGAATAAGCGACCCAAATTCTGAGATAGGGTGCAATTCGTCTTAAGTGTGGAATGATTTGTGGTCTTTCCTTGTTTAGCACGACTAAGATCTCGGCTGCAAACGGGATTTTGTTCATTGTTGTCTCCTTTGCACTGTGATTACGCTTGTGGCTGCACAGAATGTATTATGACACATTCTCATCGTTTTCTCAGCTGGTTTGAAAATGGAGGTCCACACACTGAAAACAGCGGGCGAGATTTTGCGCCAGTTCGCCTCAGGGTCCAACTAGCTGCTGTCGTGTTCATTGATCTATTAGTTATGTTTCAGTTTTGTTTTGTCGTGGTGTGATTCTTTGTAGAACCTATAGATGTACGCGACCTAAACCAGGGTTTCTGAAGTAGCGGTCGGTGACAAACGCCATTGTGGTGTCGGTGTGTTGACCTGTTTACCCGCTTCCCTCTTCTATTTTGAAGCTTCATGTCGGAACCCTCCGAGAACTTTCTTGCTCGTATTGATCTTAACGGCCTTACATAAGACTGCCACGTGGC